ATGAATATCTCCTCAAATGATTGAAGCGTCCACCCAAGCAAGTGATAAATTTAAAACTCCTTTCCACAGCCATTTAAATATTTACAAAAGTTTAGATGATCTTTTTTTTTTAATTTTTAAATTTTTTAGATGATCTCTTAAAGACTCTAACAGTCCTTCTTTATTTTCAATGAAAAATGTTACCAAAACCTTTCAGATAATAAGACTGACAGATTGTTAAAATGTCATTAATGTAATCAGTATTTTTTTATGACAAGGATTTTAAAATGAACAATGAATGAATATTAAAAACTAGGTGAGCTGCAGGAGGGAAAAGAAAGGGTGGTGATTGTTGTTGTTGTGTATTGCCTAGTTGGAACTGACCCATAGCTGACCCTCTGACAGGTTTTCAGAGGCAGTTAATCTCAGGGAGGAGATTGTCCATTCTTCTCCCTTGGAACAGCTAGTGGCCTCGAACTGCGTGCCTTCTGGATTGCAGCTCAGCTTCTTGCCACTAGGCCACCAGAGCCTGGAAGAGGGGGTAAAATGTGCAACAATGAATTAATGAAAATCTAACTTCTCTGTAAACATTTGTGAAAATCACATTTAAATTTTATTTTTAAATAATTTTAAAATAATATTTACATGCAAATGTGCAGAACACAGATATGAGTGGTTGGAACAGACACCCCTGTAGCCAAGGTAAGTCAAACCAACCATTGAGGCAACTTCTACCAAGGAGACCCTTCACTGGGTTTCTGAAGTGAACATGTTTATGGGAGGAGACTGCCCATCTTTCTCCCTCAGAGCCGTCGGTAAATTAAAATCTCTGGCTTTGGGGTTATCAACACAAAACAGATGCCACCGGGCCACCAGCACTCTACTAGTCGCACTTGCCGCCAACTTCGTTGTTTTGGTGATGGCGGTGGTGTACCATCTAAACTGAGTCTAAACTGAAGCATAACTGACTCTTCAGTGCCTTTTCAGAGGCTGTAAATCACATAGCAGAAGATTGTCCATCTTTCTCTAACGGAGCAATTGTTGGATTCAAACTGCATGCCTTAGATTTGGCAGTGCAGCTCCATACCACTAGGCCACCACAGCTCGCCAGCCAACTCAAGAGACTGCAGAAAAGGCACAAAACGGGAGGCAGGTTTGCTAAGACAGATTTCTGGTACATGCTCTGCTGCAGGCCATCCTGCACCACTGCAACCTCCGCATTTATCACCCCTTGGACTAAACCAGGCTCAACTGGTAGCTCAGATCCCTTGTCAGGATATAAAATGCATCTACTATTGAAACTATCAACAGCTTCTTCTTGCTTGAATCCACAATTAACACCCTTGCTACCAGCAGTCAGGAAATAAGCAGACGCATTGCATTGGGAAAATCTTTAGTTAGGAATTTTTCCAAATTATTAAGGATTTGGAAGCAAGAGTGGCTTCCACTTCCTAAACAAAACGCCTCTGGAAACTCTGAACTTTGATAAATATCGATAGTTGTAGAGGAGCTTCAGGCCTTTTGTTCATAGGGTCACTATGAGTCGTGCTCGACTCAAAGGCAATCAAAACAACAACAGTGATGCCACAGTCTTTCTGATTACTTGCTATGCATCCAAGAGCTGGACAATGAATAAGGATGACAGAAAAATAATTGATGCCTTTGATCTGTGGTGCTGGAGAAGAGCACTGAACATCCCATGGATGGCCAAGAGAATGAACAGTATGTCTTGGAGAAAGTGCAGCCAGAATGCTCTTTGGAGGCATGAATGATAAGGCTTCGCCTCACATACTTCAGACATGTTGCTAGGAGGTGCTATTCTTTGGAGAGGGACATGGTGCTGGGAAGGGTGGAAGATGGGCAAAAGAGAGGAAGACCCTCAACCAGGTGGATTGACATGGTGGCTGCTGCAATAGGCTCTTGAGTGTCAGGAAGAGTGAGGATGGTGCAGGAAAGAATAGGGTTCAAATCTTTTGTTCCTAGGGAGTCATTCTTGACTTAACAGCACCTAACAATAGCAACAACCAACAGTTAATGTGTTACAGTAGATGATGTCCAGGGCAGATACTTCTTCCTTGGCTGGGTTCCTTCATTCTTCATTCATCCACCTGTGGATGCCCTCCAGGAGTTGGACAGGAATCCTGTAGGAGCCTACAGCCTGAGGGCTAAAGAGAGCAGTCTTCTTCCCCTTCCATAACCTATTTGGGATACACTAGAATACACAGTGACTCTAACAATGGGCTAAAGCCCCTGAGATTCATGGCCCCATGGAGACACCCTCGGTAGGTTCTGCCTCAGCCCAGATAAGAAGCCAGGAAAGGATTTGCAATCCACAAGCTATGAACACACAGACAGACCACAGAAACACTGGCAGACACAAGGCCCTATAAAACCCATTGCCATCAAGCTGGTTCCAATAGGAACCCTATAGGACAGAATAAACTGTCCCACAGGGTTTATAGAAGCAGAATGCAATCAGCTTTCTCCATCAATGTGGCTTGGAGGTTTGAATTACTGATCTTTTAGTTAGCAGATGAATGATAAACCACTGTGCCACCATGGTGCTAAATACAAGGACACCTACTCAGAGCCCTGTAATTCCCAGCCCTTGGAGGAAGGAACATAAAGATCGCTCCAGTCCAAACCCTGACTCCAGTACAGAACTTTCTCCTCCATGCCATGCTTGTGTTACCACTGTCTCTACAACCACCACTGCCACCATCCCCTGCTACCAACCTCATAACCACCATCCTCACCACCATCTCCATCCAGAGCAACACCAACCTCAGCACCACTACCGCCATCATCTCCATCAAAATCAGTACCATCTTCACCACTATTATTACCATCACATCCATCCATCAACACCATCACTGTCACCGTCACCTCCATCAATAACAACACCATC